ATTTTTAGAAAAGTATCGGCATTGACATCTCTTCCAATTTCGTGTCAGGTCATATGATTTTAGCCTGGCTGGAGGCCTGAGGATCTAGAAACTCCAGCCCACTGATAAGGGTGAAAACCCTTTCTGATTTGCCTCCTTACCTCCTGGGGAAAAGTAACCAATCAGAGCTGCCTCCCCTTGCCTCAAAATATAGAAGAGGTTTTGAGTATGGGAAGGGTGCTGGAAAAGAAGGAGCTAGCACCCTTTAAAAAAGGTGAGGGGATCGGAGGGAGATGATCATCTAGAAGCTCCAGATGGGTTTGCTCTGTCCTGTGAAAAATGTGAGAACTTGTTCTCTGCTCTTCTCTCTCTCCTCTATGACAGCAAAACTAGGAAGAGGCAGAAGGATGGAAGGAATTGTTCCCTTCCTCCACCAACCCAGATCTGGGGAAGGGGTGGTGGTAGCTGCAGGTGGATCAGAGATGTAGCCAGGAGATTGAACTGCTCTGAAAAACTGGAAATTCCATATTATCCGAACAACTGTACCAGAGGCCAGAATTTCCTTACTGAATAAATTTGGGAGAACTGGTAACATAACTGACACACACACACTGGGATTGGGGTAGAAGGCATTCAAATATCAAATGACACACTAAATAAGTAGATCTCCCAATTTTTGAGGTCAGACAGGATTTTTAACTTTGGAGACCATCATACTGAAGAGGACATCTGCACACCAAGATAAAGAACAGTTTAATAATATGCCCATATGTACCATCAGTAAAGGTTTACAAAAGACACATTTACTTTTTTTCCACTTACTGTGCTGAAATATTTACCATTTCTGCTCTGTTCATTTACTTTATCAGTAAAATGTGCTGGCATTTCCTTTTTCCTTTACATTAAATGAGGTTATTTATTCAAGATAAACTAAAATATATTCAGGCCTCAGGAAAACAAAATGCAATACAGACACTCTGGTTACAATTTTTGTTTATGTCTTTCTTTATGGCATCTTTATATCTTTGTACATATGCCATTGTCATAACTCTAGCTTTAGAGCAGCATTTCCACTGACATTTCTAAACATGAGGCTATTTCAAATTGTAGACAGTTTTGGAGAAAGTCTACATTTTTAATACTTGTTATTTAATAACCAAAAGAATGCCAAACATAGCTGTCCCAAAGTTTCCTAGTAACATTTAGAGAAATATATATTTTTTCTACTGATTAAATCTGGATCCAAGGTTCTGCATATGTAAGCCTCCAAACAAAGAAATTTTGGCCCAGGATATTTTTAAGGAAGATGTGACAAGACAGACTGAATAGTTTTTATTTGACAGTGAATCATTAAAAAATGAACCAGATGGTTAAACTTAACAACGGTATTAAAGTGAAATTAGTAAAAGTGTGCCTAGGGCATCATAAAATCTTTTATTTGTTGTTCATCCTCAGTCTTTTCCAATGACTGTGATGGATGATTGCACAGAAGTATCCAAATTAAATTCTGAGTACTGAGCAAATTAATTTACTGTAATATTAATATAAATGTAATTGCTGCTACGTTTATTTTTCACAGCGAAAGTACCACCAGAAAATTTCATTCTTTTCCTTACTTTTATGGTGACATTACTCATCTCAGTTGCCATGTGAAGTGTATACCATTGAATAACAGGGTGTGCATCTACACATGCGCTTTAACATACATTAGCCTATTTTAATGTATACTGAAGCATCGCTAAAAACCACGGGCATTTATACACGTGATCCAGGAGTGGGGGAAGGTGCTTTAATGAATTCTAGCACATCAGCGCACAGTTGATTAATCAAGTCTGCCTGAAATGAGAGAATAATTATTTTCATTTTAGAGATGGG